TGCCCTCGTAAATTTCACATTTCATAGGATTATTTTAGGACTGGTAGAACGCTCAACGATCTGGTAACGGAACATGCTCGTCCAGTTTTGTCCTGTAACTGAATCTAGAGCCCTTGCAGGCTGTAGCATAGTGATTTGTAGTATATGATAATGTGGAACCGACAAAGGTGATGGAGACAGGAATGGCCATTTCTGGCTTGTTGGCCATGAGCAACCAGTCATACCCAAGCCCAGGGGTGACTACCTCCGGGACTCGAACCCGGACTATTGGTCATTGACTGCAAAATTCTACCATTGCACCGCGGGCTCGGTGTTTTTGCCCACTGCGATCAGGAATATGATGAATGCTAGGGCACTCACCGAGCTGGTTATGGAATATGGTCGTCCCGTTTCGCCTTGCAGCTCAGTCTAGAGCCCTCGCAGGCAGTCGCAAAGCGACTTCTGGCCTATAGTTCATCATATTCCCGATCAAATCCGACAAAAACGAATAGCCCGTGGTGCAGTGGTAGGGTCTTGCACTCAATGAACAAAGGTCCCGAGCACGAATCTTGGGGATCGCCACTCCTGGGATTGGGTATGAATGGCTGATGACAGCTAACGAGCCAGAAATGACCATTCCGGTCTCTCTAGTCTTTGTCGGTTCAGCCTCACAATAGACTTTATTGGGCAGCTGCAAGGGTGACTGAGTCCGATGAGTCAGAAGGATTATGCTGCGACCTGTAGGCTGTGTTTCACCCCCAAAAGAAACTGGTTGCGCTTGATGTATATGTTTTACTAACAATTACATTAAAAAAGCTACTAGCTCCTTGGTCGAGAAAAAGCACATTGTGGACAATGTATGAAGTATACCGTTGTAAGAGGGGAAGGCTTGGGGGGATAGCCACTAGGATAGTGTAAGCCCACGTTGGCCAGCGAGGCCGTTAACATTTGCACGCACGAAGGGGTCAAAAATCCTGCGTCCCATAACCCTTTGTCTACGCTGTGGAGTTTTGTACCTCGGCATAAAACTAACACCTTGACCATTTCTATCTCACCGTATAAAACAAACTATACAATTGTTTTGCTATGACCGCCGAGTTTTTAAAAACTGGGTGAAATTACTTCCGAATATATTTTTCAAATCGTGCGATGGTTCTGCAGTATACGGGGTGGTAGTCCAAATAACCATTCACGCCTGCCAAACTCACATACAAGCACACCTGCACTTGTGTGCTTCGAATAAGCTTATAATCACGAAGTCAAACGTCATTCGAAAACGGATGCCTGGTGCCACAAACCCAGGGGCTCCGTTTAGTTCCGAAAAGGATAACATAGATGCCTTCTGCTTTTGCAGGCTTACGCGCTGGTCTGTGGACATCGCATCAGTTCCTTTCAAAAAATTCAGCGCGAGCTTTTGAAGGCATGCTTGTTTTCTGAGGGGACCTATACTTTCAGGCTCAGCCACGAGTAACGTACATTTTGCTTGCTTGTTCTACAAACTATTGAAGTCTGGCAAGCACTCTTATGAATTATACCTAGAGCTGAATCAGATTACTTTTACTTACAATTCTCTCCTACTTAAATTGATTCACTAGGACTGGTATTATAGATTTTTTGAAGTTTACGACAGCCATTTTCACGTTAAACGATAACGTCCACCGCGTGCCCCACAGAGGTGGCGCAACACGGGCGACTTGCATGTAAATTTATTTATAATGAGGCAGACTTTAGCGCACCTACAGCATTATTTTTGTTGGCACCCACTGATGGCAAAAAACTGATCTCATTCCATCTCATTATCATCGGAACTCGCCTGGTTTAGCTTGCAGCTCGAGGCGATTCCGGGGATGTGGCCGCAAGGCAGAGTCTAGCTTCGGGGAGCCACAGCTAAAAGTTGGGGGTCAGGTAAGAGACATTAGGAGGAGTTACCCCTTTCACTGGGCAGATTATGCTACCACCTATAACCTTAACGAGAGAACTCTTAACTGCATCTCCCTACACCCGGAGCAACAAGCACGTAAATGATATTCGCAAAAGCAACTATCACACCGACTAGGCATGTTCCACACCCCTTCAGTAAATATTAACACTGTGAAGAGCAGTGATGCCGTGCGTGCCGCTATACAAATAAGAGCGTATCCACAACCTTGACACTTCTGGATTGACTGCTGTTTTTAAAAATAACTGAGTACTTTGGGAGGCTAGCTTACCCACGAATGTGGAATTCGGAAGATTCCACCTTTTTAAGAAGTAACGGAGACTTGTAATACTATACAAAACTAGTTCCCAGAAGATATTCGGAAAGCGTAAGAAAAGGCGAAGAATTAAAACTAATTTAGGCAAAAGTAGCCCCACTCATATATTCCCAGTCCCAGGATTTTGTCCACAAAAACGGTGGTTAAAGAGTTTTGTAGGGAGGAGAAATAGGATAGGCAGAGAAGAAAAGTTTTAGAAGTGAGTGTAAAGTGAAAAAATGTAGTCGAAGTTGCTTCCCGC